GGTAAGTGAGCTCATTAAAAAGACTGACCCTGTTAGCAACAGAGTAGGCTGGCTGCCTTATTTGTCAGCGAACATGGAAAAATCCTACAGTACTTTTTTGAAAGACAGACAGAAACAGCCCACTCTCTCGCATCTAGTTAAGCAAGAGCCTGCAAAATCTGCACAGACCCCCAGCATAAAAATGTTGATGTAGATTCAGTTCAGTCATAAAGGAAAGCAGGAGCTTCAGGAGTGCTCAACCACCTCCACAGCAAGAAGCAAGCTAGAGGAGTCACTGGAAAGTTGCTGATCAGCTACACAACAAGCACAAGCTTCTAGGAAATTGGGCCACTGAACCCCTGTAGCAGGTGTCATTGCTGTAGCTTTGGGTTCATTGCAATAGCCTGATAGTTCTGCCTTGTCTATACTGATTTTTTTTTTTTTTTTGCTTTTATTTCCCCAACGGTATTGTAGAAACAGACATTGATCAGTGGGAACGTGCCTGTGACACACTGCTCATGTGCATTGTCACTGTCCTGAACCACGGCCTGAGGAATGGCGGGGGTGTAGGTGACATTTTGCGGAAGCCATCGAAGGATGTGAGTTCAGGCAGCGCGTGGGTCCCCTCTCTTCCACACAGCCCTGTTGCATTTACCACTGTGTAGCTGCCCTTCTTCCCTGGAAATGTTGACACTTTCAGCTTTATTCCTCTCAGCTGTCTCTCATTGCTTTCCACCTCTCTTCCCCTATCACATTGCTATTATTCTTCCTCACCTTGCACCCTCAGTCTCTGGCCCCTGTTGGGAGTGGCTAGAGAAAAGGTGTGGAAGAGATGCACATTTTTCCCTTGTGTCCCTTGCAGGAGTCCTTGTTTCCTGCTCGGGTTGTCTACGACCTCCTTTTCTTCTTCATTGTCATTATCATTGTCCTTAACCTCATCTTTGGGGTCATTATTGACACCTTTGCTGATCTGAGGAGCGAGAAGCAGAAGAAGGAAGAAATACTGAAGACCACTTGCTTCATATGTGGTGAGTGCTAGAACCCTGACTCACTATGTATATAGGACTTCCTTCCCCAAGGTTCCTCTTGGAGACAAGCTTTCTTTTAAGGTTGACCTAAACATAAGGGAAGGAATGAAGTTTCAGATGGCTTTGGGTTTCATTGGGTTTGCGGCAGAAACATAAATCTGGCTACCAGTGGGTCACTGCAGTATGAGCAGGCTTAAACAAGGATGCCAACTGAGAGGGGAAATTATCTGTATTCTTACTTGTCTTCCATTAATGAGGTGTTAAACTAAATGCTGCATTGTGATGTTCTCAGTGATGTGCATCTATCACTCCTGAGGCCATCACTTACCAAGTGGAAAAAAAAAGCACCACATTACTAAGGAAATAAAATTCAGGAAAACATCTCAGAATGCTCTTGGTTGTAGGCAGGCAGCCAAACAAAGGAAAAAAAAAACACCCCATAAGACTAGCTGTTTTTTTCTTAAGAGCTCCACTGGGTGCCTTTTATGCTTTTAGGTATGTATGCAGGAAACATAGCTAGTAGCACTTTAAATAGAAGCATCCTGAATACACAACTGGGTTATTTTCCCCGTTTTGGATGCTTGTTTTGTGCTAAATGCCAACTAATGATTAAAAGCACCTTTTGAAAGTCACACCTGAGACAGGATGCAATTATCTGTACTTCCTTTCACATTTGTTTGCTTGCTCACTGCTTACCTTCTCCCCTCCCCATCTTCTCTTTCTTGATTGCCTCTCCCAGGTCTTGAAAGGGACAAGTTTGACAACAAGACAGTGTCCTTTGAGGAGCATATTAAATATGAGCACAACATGTGGAACTACTTGTACTTCATAGTGCTGGTGCGAGTGAAGAACAAGACTGACTACACAGGGCCAGAGAGTTATGTGGCACAGATGATAAAGGTATGTGTCCTCTCGGGCAGGGCAGCTTTCACACATTGCACCCTGCCTACCCCTGGGGAAACATTTGAGAACAATGGGCTTGCTAAAGAAAAACAAACAAACAGTTTTAGACAGAACTTTTGGAAAATATTTAATTATGTAGTTGTCCCTTAATTCTTTCTTACCTGATTATTTCCACTTTGCAATCTCAGCCAAAAACATGTTGTCTAGATGTTTTGTACTGGGCATTTAAGGATTGGATCAAGGGCAAGAACAGTGGTAGAGAGAGTAGATACAAGGCAGGAGAGGAGAACAAGGAGATCTGGAAAAGAAAAAACTCTGAACTTGAACCCAGAAGGCTGTAATAAAAAAGCTGGAAAATAAACAGGCCATTAATGAAAAATTTGCAAAGATCCAGACAAGCCAACCTTTTGAGGATTTCTTCTAATCCCTTAGCATAGCAGGCTTGCAAAAGCTTCCTGTTAAATCTTACTGGGTCTCTTTCCTTCTCTTCACCATCTCTCCAACTTCACTACTTCAGAATAAGAACCTTGACTGGTTCCCCCGGATGCGAGCCATGTCACTGGTCAGCAATGAAGGGGAAGGGGAACAGAACGAGATTCGAAATCTTCAAGACAAACTCAACTCCACGATGAAGCTGGTGTCCCATCTTACCTCCCAGCTGAATGAGCTGAAGGAGCAGGTAAAAACAGGAACACTTGAGGAACGCCTGGCTGTAGAAAGCCACTGTACTTACCAAAATAGACACCGATTCCAAGGAACAGGAGACAGTAGCAGCCCAATGCTGTACAGCTTCAGATACAAAGAAAAGGGCTCTTGCAGCTCTTTGGGGTCAGGCACAGTTGGGACATGTGCTTTTTTGATAGTTTAGTTCCTTATCAGCTAGAGTGTAACTCATAGGGCTTTCTGGCAGATGCTTAAAGCAGCCTAGTCAGTCAAGCGTGTGGGTGACTAGAAAGGCAGCCTGGTTTCCTACCTCACTTCTGTCCTTGTTTGAACTCTAGATGACAGAGCAAAGGAAGCGCAGACAAAGGATGGGGTTTGTGGATGTCCAGAATACCATGAACCACTAAAACACAGTGCAAACATCGGCTTCACCCACCAAGGGACTAAATACATGTATCAGCTAACGAGGGCTGCTTGTTCCTGGGGGTCCATACGTGGACATCACAGTCAGAGAAAGCCGGACCACGCTGAGGGGGCTTCAAAGTCAACATTTTCCTTAGAGCGCTTCTAAGCGGTTCCACCCAGCAACAAACAGGAACCAGTGAATGGCGAGGATTCCTTAGGATACCTGGACCCACAACTTACTCTAATGCCCTTGTAGGAAGATAAATTATACAGGACTTTTATTCCTCATTGCAATAACTCTGCATTTTGCAAATGTGGGTTGTATCTTTATCTCCATGCACTACATTCTGGTGGCCTGCACCATGGGTAAGGATACCACTTGTAGTGTAACTAGCTGTAGGGCTGCAATATTTAACTTATTCCAAGAGCGTCAGTAGTAAATGTGGATCGTTGCAAACCAGCCATTGTATCTGCCGTACCTGCTCCATGCTGCTGCTTCTCCATTTAAAGAATTCTGTCCATCACTGTGGTGCAGTAACGAGGCGCTAAACTCAAGGAAAGGCATTGATAATTTAACTCACCAGATAAGGATGAGCAGCAAAGCTCTTACTAGTATGAACTGGTCTTTTGCCGTCTGTGGACAAAGAATATCTGGGCAGGAGTAGGAGACTGCAGGTTTACAGGAGTTCACTGTGAAGGGGTATCCTGTGTTTTAATTTCATCTCTGGTGTAATGTTTTACTTTGTTGTTGTTGTTGTTACTCTATGAACTAAAGTGTAAATTGCCTTAAACTAAATTAAATACAAAAGCAAGTTATAATAAAAACTGAAACATGCTAAAGAAAGCGCCCTTCCTGTGTGCTCTGGTATGTAATGTGGCTATTATTATTTAAAAAAAAAAAAAAAAAAGTGCACAAAAGCAGAACAAGCCAAAGACCTGAAAGCTTGTACACTACAACTCAATGATCTCAGTTCCAGATTTTAAATGTTAAAATATAGTATGAAATTCAAGTCAGAAGGTGAAAAAGAATGCTACCATGAAGAACTACCTCGAACACCAGCCTTGTTTTCTGAAGCTTTGGATTAGAGCCTGCTGCAAAGTTTCAGCTTCTTTCACTACTTGCCAGGAAAACGCTGTTCAAATACAGAAAAAAGAGCAGCTGTTGGTGCTTCCTGGAGCCAAGCAGAGTCCTGGCATAGCTCTGTTCTAGACACTCATCCTCCCCAAGCCAAGCAGCTCTGTAGCCCTCCCAAATACAACTCTGTGCTCTGCTAACACATTCCAGCCCCCCCCACCTCCCCCAAACAGACACTGATGCAAGCATTAAAGCTTCAAAAAGGAATTAAAAATAGGCCACAGCACGGACTGATCCCACTTGAACTTTGTTTATGGCAGCCTTCTCAGTAACACACCATTAAAACCTAACCGTTTCTGTCAGCAAACCATATAGCACCTTTTTTTTGCTCCGCCCAAGGAAATCTGCATAGAGCTAGCCAGCACAGTGACACACCACTGCAGCATTAGAGATAAGGTACTAGACTGAGAGCTCAGTTTAAAAAAAGAAAAAGAAAAAAAAAATTCTTACACTGCTCCACATCACCATGGCAAATAGTCACCTTCAGCTCTCCTGCATCTTTCCAGATATATAGGACTGATGAAAACCAAAAAATAAAGGTGATCCCTACTGCAGTTTCATTGTTACCAGTGTTAACACACATACGTACAAGCCAAGACTATAGCTCAACTTCTTCATTATTAGGATTTGACTGTCTTCACAATCAAGTTTAACGGTAACATGATTTTACCTATTTGCTCTGTACGTTTCCTGGTTGTTCAGGTTATTCTAATACAAGGTCTCTGGTCTAACAAAACAAAGCTCTTTCGTCTACAGGCAATTGCTCCAAACCGATTTCAGCACAGCTGTGTTTACCTATGTCCTAGAGCCCCAACTGCCACCCCCCCCCCGAAAGGTGGGGGAGAGGGCTAAAAATGAAGGGTGCAAGGTGTATGGCTGAATAAAAATGTTGTTGCTAAGAGGACTGAATGGCTTTATTCATTATGGCAGCATACAGTGCTTTAGGAATATATACAGTGGAGAATCTGGGAGATAGCCTATCACTTTGAATCCTCTTCAGATTTCTTGGCATAAAACCTTTCTCGCAATTTTTTCCATGTCCCTTTTTTCATTTCCTCCATCTGTTTCAGAATGTCTGCAAAAGGAGAAGGGGGAGAGATGGGGAAAGAGGAAGAAAAGCAAAGGAATGAAAGCTCTCTTATAAGAGCTTTGCCTTACATCTATTTTCCTTGTTGATGTTGCATCTTAATGAATTTCTAGTTTAGTGCTTGAGGCAAGTTTGTTTTCCCATCCAATCAATTGTGCGGCGAGTCCCTTATCACTAACAACTAATATTCAGTTTCCCCACACTGCAATCAAAGTTAGGAATTGGAGCAGAACAAAACTGCACTAGATTCCTACGCTGCACTTAATAAATGACTTGGCTGAGTGTATTTGTGCATAGTGGTACCCTGTGTTCTCTGAAAGTCTCATATAAGGGAAGAACTACCAAAGGGAATTTGAATATAGTAAAATAGAAACTGAGCATTCTTAGAATGAGGTGATATACCTCATATACCGTAGTATACCGTGTTTTTCTTTCCCATAGCTCCTGCGGGTCATTCTCAAACAGCCCTTGCAAAACTCTTTGCTTTCTCCATCCAGTGCAAAATACAGTCAATGCCTTGCCCTGATAAATTAATAATTAAGAGCTCCTCAATAATGCCTGACCTTAGTCCTCTTTAAGCATCCTAATACAGTTGCATGGCAATCCCATTCTGTCCTTTAGGCACAGGTGTTTAGCAGAAGTCATGCAGTGACCACTACAACGTGGCATGTACTTTGTCTCCTGCAAAGAGTTACTCCCAAATTAAGCAGCATGTTAGTACCTGTTGCTAGGATCATCTTGCAATCGTCTACTGTCACTCCAGTGAAGGTTGTATCTTTCAGGCGTGGATACTTACATGTATTCAAGTAGACAAGAAAAGGAGAGAGAGAGAAAAAAAGAGAATTTGAGTTGCAGTGCATTAAAGCAAATAATAATATCACCACATAATAGAGTTCAAGCTCATTTTCAGTCAAGCTCTAAGAATTCTTTCATCCACAGCAAGAACTATCTATCATCCGCATTGTTCATACATGTTATACAGGCCAAGACATCTGCAGCTTTCCTGGAGAGACCAAAAGCACCAGGTAGTGCTACATCCAGCTCACTGGTCAGTTGTCTACTATAAATTCCCAGAAACCCTGCTGGGATGATGCAGCCTAATGCCATAGCTGGTGGCTTGCCACCCCAAAACAACAATAGCTAATGCCAAAGCTCACCTTGTTTTTGTAGTAGTTGGTGTGGATTCTGACTAAGCTCTCATACATCTGGTCACAGGTCGCAGGGTCAGCGATCTGAAAAGGGATGCAAGTATCACTCAACTCTTACTTTAAACCTTCTTAGAGAAAACTTCTCATTTGAACTAAAAGGTTGTGTGAAGAACAGTGAAGGAACAGTTTAGGTGACTTCTCAGGACAATGTAGGATGCTGGTGGCCCCTATTATGCTGCTCAAGAACGCAAAGCATGTTCTTTCCCCTCCACTTCTGCCCAGCTTGGCCTACAAGAGTAACGAAGCATGTAATCTCCAGAACAGACCTTAAATTCTGCTTGAGAAAATTTGACAGATCAACTGTGAACACACACTTAATGAGAATAGAGCTGGACAGTTTTCTTCTCATGTTTACTGGCCAGTGCTGTGAACTCTACAAGACTTCTTTGCTCAAAGGCCAGTTTTGCCTCCTGTTTTATTCTGAAAGATCAGACAGGATAAAGTACTATAGGATAAGGATAGAAGGTAGAAAATCCTGATGAAGGCTAAAAATAGTTTATAATTGATTAGGGAAAAGTAGCATGAAAGACTTGTGAAGGGTAAATGGATGTCTATTTTGGTCTAGTAAGTTGGAAAGATTTCCCTAATACACCAACCACTCTCAGGTGCCCCCACAGGTGCCTCTGCCTTGCAGTGCCATCTATTTAGCAGCATGTATGGCACATTGGGTTTTTTTTCCCCCCCATTTTAAAATGGAGACCAACTTGATCAGAACTCTGCATTGCTGTTCAATGACATCAAACATAAATGATTAAAACAGATGGATACATGACTAAGACCAGTATCAACAGCTAACAAATTAGGATAAAATGACATGGCTAATCCTCCCTTGGGACATTGGCACAGGTTCAGCACAAGGCAGGTAATGTCTCCCCTATGCAAACAAGGGAAAGGCTTTCCTTCCTCAGTAGATAATGGCTGCTGCAGGAAAGAGAAAATCAGGACAGACAGACCATCAAAAGGGAGCATCATCATGCTGCAAGTAATCTTCAGCTTAACATACTCTGCCGTCACATTTCAAATAACTCTGTTGGTGTTTTAGAAATGATAGTGGCAATAGCTATTAAACAGGTAGCAGAAATAGTATTGCAAAAAAAAAAAATCAGCAAATCTTATTGTGTGTGAATAAAATAGACATTACACTGATAAAGTATCCTTTATAGTCCTAGTTCTTTTCTCATATATTCCTCCTGCTGTCTGCCAGTACATTTCCCTTTACTGTATTAAGCCTTTATAGATACAAATTGACATCAGTGCCGCAGGCATCAATTTAGATTTTCAAGATGAGTGGCAGCTTTGGGCTCTTGTAGCCAATTGGTGTAGCATATTCAGCGGTCCTAAGCATATGAAAAAGCAGTAAGCACTTTCTGAAATGTCTGCTGCAGATTATTCTGGTGACCGATATAAAATTAGGTGCTTACAATGGCACATTCAAGTAGAAAATCCACATCTGGAACAGCCTCCAACACCGTTTTTAAGGTAAGAAAGCGCATATCTACATTCCAGAGCACCACCTCCAAATCTTTAGTGCAGCCCAAGTCAAGCATTAACTTTTCCAATTTATTTTCGTACCAAAGTCTAAATTCCAATAAAATTACAACTGTAGTCAGAGCCCAACTTTAAAAACACTGCATCCTAATGCCATTAGACAATTTTGGACTTCCCTATGTAATCCACACTATCATACCGTTGCGTCATTGTAGGACCACAGCAAGCAACACATGCTAATAAAACCGATCGCACCACTGTGCTGACAAATTTGCAGTGCGTCCCACTTCCATCATCACTGTAACAGGATTCTCCAACGCGTGTGTTGCAAATGGTGCAAGAATTTAGGAAAAACTGAGGCTTGTGCTCCTGCTAAGCTGGGAATAAGCTATGCAGCTGGCTAGGGCAAACTTAGAAGGCCTAGATTTCAAAGGAGAGCAAAATATTTGTATCAATCCATCCTGGGCTCTGAAAAGACCCAAAGGAAACTTTACAATAGGAAGCAGCCCAAATCATTTCTGGTACGTTGTAGACAGCAGCTTAACATCCAGCTTTAACTGAATCAAGTCTAAGGCACGCGAAACAAAGATAGCGACTGTTTGGAGAAGAATACGTGTTGAGAACGTTAATAGCAAAAAAGCCACTGATTGCCAGCCAGGCAGGGAACACACCAGACCCTCAGTACTGTCAGCACCAGGGTCCTGACACTTGTGTCCAGAAACCGAGGCAACCACCTCAGAGCGAGCCTCAAACAGCACGACAGGCCCCCGCTGCCCAAGCGGCGCAGGGGCAGCGCTGCAGGCTAGGCGACACCAGGGCCCCACGGCGGCGGCCGGAA